AGCCAAAAAGCTTTAAATTCAGGTTGGAACTTGCTTGGTAATCAACCTGATGATTCCTTAACATTTCCTAATGGCTAATGCTAAAAGTTAGTGAGACGTGGTTAATAAGTTATACTGTCACCTCCTTACTTTAAAGGCAAATGGGCTATAGATTTGAATACAGGTCAACAAGTCGAAATCATGAAAAAGATCAAGAATATTTTCGGGCCACAAATAATGCATGAGCTGGAGAAGTTGCCAGGTTATGTATGCTTGGTGTTTCATCAAATTAAATAAATAAAGGTCTTAATTTTCATTTAAACTCGATAACCCTCGGGTACCTGCTCTTCTTCAAAGGGATGCCACGTTGGTTACTTGCCTAATGGGATCTAGCTGTTAAAAAGTGGTTGATTTAGAATTAAAATGGCAAATCCCAATTATGAATGTACTTTCAATATTTTTGTTCGGCTCATAACTGAAAGTCCCTTATAAGAATTTTAATTAACCGATTTCTGCATCGAAGATTTATGCAGTTGCCCGGAAATCGGCCCCGCAAATCAAATTACTTGAACTAACACAGAAGTTATGTGTGAATTTCAAGAGACAAACTTGAAGTGGTTTACATTTCAGACTACAAAGATGCTATAATATAATAGTATATATCAGCTAATGTTAGTTAAATTAATATTGAAAAATATAATAATAATGCTAATACTAATGATAAAAAATATTTTTTTAAAATCATTATCATTTTTTAATTGTGGTCATCATGAACTTTTATACTCTCGCTTGACGGAATTCAGGTACTTCGGCTTACCGTTGGCGAGTACTGACAGTCCCCTTCCTCCGTTAGAGGTGCTGGCGAATCGCTTGAAAAAGGTGGGCAGCTAAGAACACTTTCTTCCGACTGATATGGTCGCCAATAGTGTTCTTGTGGTGCTTTGGGTGGCGCGCGTTCTCTGCTTAAGCCGGACCTACGGAAGACGACTTGGGAAAACTGGTCGCTGGCGAATCTCTTCATGTCCAGGCTTGCCACTGAGTTGTTTGTCAATGCAGAGGCGTCGATGCAAATGTGCTGTGTTGACTGGCCATAAATGGAGATGGTGAAGAAGGAGACAGACATAATGTTTGCACTTTTACCCAGATTTGATTAATTTAGGTGATTACTACGTTATTGAGATGGTTCTCTTTTGACTATTCCCACCAAGCTAGTCCTCATCTGCGTCTGTTTTGTGTCACAATTGCCCTCACCCAATCTACCGGTCTTTTATTCTTCTTGTTACTGCTCATTAGGACTCATGTTGGCCTTAAAGTTTAAGTGTAAGAAGGAATCTAAAGTGTATTTTACCGTGCTCTATGTTGCAAATTTGGTGTAAAAGGAAAATCAAATCAAACTTTCCCACTCTTATTCATTGGCTAGAGTTCAATAGCGGTCCACCTAAAGCCGAATGAAATAGCACTCCATTAGGAGCAGACTTTTACATATACTTGAGGTCATTTATAACAGAATAACCTGATTATCCGCTATAACACAAATGTTATATACCCAAAGTGAATAAGAGGTTGCTTCTGGCTTGATCAACAATGCTAGGATCTAAGTTTTATTTCTGCGCTTGCAAATGTTATTATGGTAGTAGATAAATTATAGCAAGTGCTCATATTAATACTGTATACTCTAATGGATTAATCTCCAACTTCAAAAAACAAATGGCAGATATATGTGAAATCAATTACAAAACCCACTCAAAAACGAAATATAAGTAGTCGTCGACTGCTATAGCAAACAGCTTCATTAACACTTCTACTACAGAATGTGATATAGGAAAATGTCTAGCCTTCGTTGAAATCCGCATCTGCCCTTTGACACAAAGGCACTCGTGGCATTGTGACGAAGTGGTTAACGTGTCGAGATAGGACTTATACGAGGTCAAACTGCCGTCCACCCTGAATGAGAATATCTTTTAGGAAAGCAAGGCTGTCAAATTCACTGGAAATGTGAGCTCTACAGATATCATTAAGGAAAAATTCCAGTCTATTTCGTTTAAGTTGATGAAGGACTGGTAGTAGAATTTTTCCACAATGATATGAGCAGATCTGATGTTTCCATTGTTTTCCTAAAAGTTGTTCTCATCCAGGGTGGACTGCAGTTTTGACCTCGCGTAGGTCTTATCAGCACCCCCAGCGGGAGTCAAACCGTGACAGTGCAGCATGTGAGCTAGAAACGTTAACCAGTAAGCCACATTGCCACGAGTGCTCTTGGGTCACAGGGCAGATGTGAATTTCAAAGGAGATTAAGTGGGTAATGTGCCAAGCTTACATGCTGACTGTCACGGTTCGACTCCCGCTGGGGCTGTTGATAAGACCTAGATGAGGTCGAAACTACAGTCCACCCTGGATGAGAACAATTTTTGGGAAAGCAAGACTGTGAAATTTAATGGAAACGTCAGCTCTACTCATATCATTGTGGGAAAATTCTGCTACCAACCCTTCATCACCTTAAACGAAATAGGGTGAATACATCTCATATAACTCATTTACTTGTTGTCTCGAAATTTGGCTTTTATATACGGAAATTCTAATGCCAGTCCTTCATGACCATAAAGGAATTAGACGTAGCACAGCTTAAAAGATAGTAGTTAGCAAACAAAAAGTGCAAATTTTCTTAGTGTCACCAGCTTACTACTTACATATCCGAGCTAAACATTAGCAGTGGTAGTAGGTTCATTTAACCTCAACCTCAAATAAATAGGTAAGCCCTCATGATTATTTTAAATTATACTCAATTATCTGTCTTTTGAGAGCAAAATGTATGGTCAATCCTAATTGGTATAGATTTTATTCATCAGTGCACTTAACGATGCTGCGTGAAACCTTAACTTAAGTGCGCTTGCTCCATAAAGAGTAGAGCTGTTTTTTTTCGATTATGCTCTTTATACAGAAGATTAGCTAACTAGTATGAAAGTGCAGCATATAAACACTTTTCAAATAAACTATGAAACTTTCTTCACTCTTGAGGGAAATTTGATCTAGTATCCAAATTTAGCAGCCCTAAAATAATGTGCGCATGCAGAAATTTTTATGCTTGAGAGGCCTTTAGTGTCATTCTCTAAAGGGAGGTTTTATACAAAAGTGCTTGATAAGGCTGTTGGGTTTAACGATAACAGGTAATTGAACATATAAAAGAAACTGGATATGAGACAGAATGATAACATACTCGTTGCTTTTCTGATTAAGGTTTTTCTGCTGTCAAGCTCAAATTTAGTGAGGTCATCATCGATAGATTAGGCAGTACATTGAATATCGGGAATACAGATAGGAAGTTAGTAATAACCAAATAGGTTTATTTTTTATGCCTATGAGTACATATAGTGTAGAGCCGCCCAAGAAAAAGAAGTGATTTAACTGGTCTTATGTCATTGTGGTTTTAGTTGTTACTTTTATTTCTCGAAAAACGCTCATCAACTCAACCTGAAGTATTCCAAGCATTATGCAATCGAAATATTGGCTGGGAGAATGGTCATTAAGCCTTGATTTCTGTAGCCAGATGCTACACTCTGTTTCGCCCACTCGTATCTGCTACGTTCATAGCCTTACTTACAAATGCGCACACATTCACACATGAGCATTCATATGCACAAATTTACAGGTTAGCAAATGATATGAAATAAACAAATCAGTCAATCTCTCACGAAAAGGCATAGGTTGAGAGTATTTTCACAGAATGCTGATACAATTTAATGTGTTGTATTGACTATTTTTCAAGAATACTATCTATTCTATTACACGGGGGATCAAATAAGATTTTAATCGAGACCGAAAAAGCTTGCCTTGATGACGGCTTCAATCAGAACGTTTCAGTAAAGGTAAAGGACCTCTAGCCAAGAAGTCTCCGTCTTCGTCTTCTATTAGGATTGAAATAAGAATTGCTTCATCGCATACACTTACTAAGAATAAAGCGAGCCCGGCATGTTCTCGTTCTATACTTTTTGTGGTTTTTAATGCAAACGTTTGTCTCAGTACATTGGCAGCATTCCTGTCTCTTCTTTTTTCCATATTGCACCTACCATATTCAAGGATTTTGTTTTCGATGCGATTTATGATTCTATGTTCACCCAGTTTTAGTTTTCTCTGACTTAAGAATTGATTATTTTGCCTGTTACTGGAGTCTGGCTTGGCTTAAGATCGCGGCATATCCTAGAATGAAATCCTTTTCATTTTACTTCGCTGCTCTTCCAACAGAGTGAGGTTGTTATGTAAAATGAGTGTCCAGTTTTATCAAATTATTTTTAATCAACTTTATTTTTAGCCAATTTATCTGGTTTCCTGTTACTGGGCAAGCTGCTAAACTAGCCAAATATCAAAACACTTTATATCACCGTTTTCTAAGTTACTTATAATACATTGACTCTGTGGCGACATTTTTGTTGCAAATCTCTGCAAGCCACCTAAACTCTCCTCTTCATCATCCGCTCTCAAGAGCGGAAGCTAGAATACTAAACTAGAGGGCCTTGAGTAAGGATTTCCTGTTCCCATTTATCCTATTTCAAAGGCTCTTGAATCCGTAATCTCGCAAAATTCCCCTTGCCTAAGAAAATCTTTCTGATGATCAAGATTTTATAATCCAATTGTAGCATGAATTTATCCTGAGCTTAGGAGTGTGCCCTATACACGGCCAAAGTGCATACTATCAGTTCATAAAGCAGTGTTCGACTACTATTTGAGTTGACCATGATTTAAGGTTAGAGTAAGATTATTTATCAATTCAACCGATGATATTTAATCGAAACGAAGGCCTCACAATTAAGATCGATGGTGGAAATGCGATAATATTGCAAGCCTGTACGTTATTAAGCAAAATTATATTGTTATGTTATAAAATG